CTTGTATCAGAGCTCAATCCTGTATGAGCAATCCACAAAACTCCCAGATTCTTTGGATCAGAGATTCTCAAACTGTGGATAAGGAGTCCTAAAGCTTCCTACGGAAGCATGCAATATAGTTTTATCCTGCAGAAGATATAAAACACCAGAAAAGGCTACATGCTTCCATGGAGGCAGATTATAAGGCTCACACAAGATTCTGTGTTCTAAACTCGTGCAAATCATCTGATTTACAGTAACTATCTCTGTGTATTCTTTACCCACAGCAAGTGTAAAACAATTTGAATTAAGAACACCACAGTTATTTGGAAAGTAAATTTCCCAAGATCTGTTATATACTGCAGAGCTGCTAAGACCCATTGCTTTTAATAAAGCTTTACTCCACAAGGCCCAATCTGCAACAAAGAAGGAACATTTTTGCTAGGTCTGAAAACTGCAGAAGAGGTAGGAGTTCAGACACAAGATTCAGGCTTACTGCCAAACTAATCATAGTAGGTTGGCTGATAAAATCATCATACTAAGTGCTTAAAGACCACAGAAGAAAGCACWGGTTTGTAAACTCCCAAGAGGGACTATCACTGTTCACCAGTGGCAAAGCTTTGCAACCAGACTGTAGCCCCTTGAAATGAGTTTTGGTATACACAGCACTACTTAACAATGTAAGGCCAAAACAAACGACAGCCATACCACATTATCAACAAAGTAGACCCTCCTGAAATGCATAGTTTTTAGCAGTTCAACAGACCAAAGCTACTTTTCTCAGAAAAAAAATCAGTGTAATAAATTGGAGATATATGCAGGAACGTCAGAAAGAGACTTTAAATATAGAGGCAGTACATTTAAGGTAAAGAATCACACGATGGTCGAGGTTGAGAGTGACCTCTGGAGATCATSTGGTCCAACCTTCCTTTTCAAGYGGGGTCACTTAAAACAGGTTACTGAGGACAATGTTCAGATTGCATAAAAGGAAGAATTTTTTTACAATGTGCATGGTGAGACAGTAACAGGTTGTCCAGAGTAGTGATGGATGCCCCATCTCTGGAAACATTCAAGGTCAGGTTGGATGGSGCTCTGATCARTCTAGTCTAGTTGAAGATGTCCCTGCTCATTAAAGGAATTTGGACTAGATGACCTTTAAAGGTGCTTTCTTACTCAATGATTCTAGGATTCTGTGTGCAGATGACTTCTGAATGTCTCCATGGTAGGAGRCTCCACAAACTCTCTGAGAAACCCATTCAAGCGCCTGATCATCTTCACAGTGGAAAAATGTTCTTTTAYAGTTGTGTTTCAATTTTTTTCACTGCCACCCCTCCTGTAACCAAGCACCACTGAAAAGAGTCTGAACCCATCTTCTTTACACACTTCCCTCTGACACTTACACACATTAGACTGCCCAGTCCTTCTCCAAGGACTCAGTCTTTCCTCATAGGAGAAATGCACCAGTTCCTCAATCATCAAGCAAGATGAGGCTTACTGATTCATCCAATAGAAGAGATCAGATCTGAGTCATTCAACAAAGGAGGTGCTGACATTTCATAATGGAGAACGYCACAGAAGATTTAATCACCACCAGATTTCATTGCTATCACTTTGCTTGATTAATCTAATGGAAAAAGACAGAGAAGCAAAGCAATCATATCAATTAACACTGCACTGTACTAAATGATCAGAAACAGAACTCTGAAGTGATGGATAAGGAACAGATACAGCAAGGTGTTGCTGTACTTGCGTAACTAAATCTAGTTCTCTCACTGTGATCAGACTTCCATTTAACATTCAAGATCACACAGAMTCTACCTGAAAGTAGCTCAGATACATGGCAACACAGATCAGCCACGCTGAAYTTCTTGCAAAGAAGGAAGCAGTTCATACCGTTTCAAGCAGTAAGCTCCTCTGCAGAGCTCACTGCCCTTCACCGTGTGGCAATGGTAAACCTGCCCTACACAGCCTGCTCTGTGAAGTGCTAAGTACACCAGCACTCCAGATGCTAATTGCTACTGCTTCCCTGTGCCTACACTTCAAATGAGGGGAGAAATAAAGTATGTTAAAAGGATCATAGAGATACTAAAGAGGAAAAGGAATTTAAAAAAAAAAAAGTGAATGTGAATGGATGATGATGCCAAGAGGTAAAATATCATTAGGGGATAAACGGCCTTCCTGAGGAAGAGTGTGGAAAGCTTTCCTTGTAATATCACAAAGTAGCTTACGGGAGGGGAGTTAATAGGTTTAAACACTTTCTCCGGCTCGCTGGGATGCGCGGGAGCGCTGCCTGGAACGCGGGCTCGGGCATGGCCGGGCCTGCAGCGCCCCCGCGCGGCCGCCTCGCCCCGCTGCGCTCCCCACGGCACCGCCGCTCCAAGGAACGCTTCCCCGCACAACGCAAAAACACCTTGTGGTATCTAAYATCACGCACGGGATCCATCCGCACAAACTGCACTTATAACTCATTTACTCTGCTGACTTAGTTACATATAAAAGAAGTTAATTTTAACAGATAAAATAAACAGATTCAGGTTTACRCACAGATACCAGCCCTTGCCTTGGGTAGGTCTCATTTGGTATTTCTCTTGCCCCAAACGCGGCCAGGCTGCCACACAACAATGTTTGTTATTCTATACCAGTTGTTACCCACACTCCCACCTGTTCCATTTAGTTATCCACATGACAGACGTGTAAAATCGTCCCATTATTTGTAGAAGGCCATGCYGCAGCACTGTTTAGAAATATGGCAACGCATAAAGGGCAAACTTTCATTTTACTGTAATATTTACATACGCCCTCCTTTCAGAAGGGCAGTAGATATGCTGTGCAAGATAGGAAATGAAGTTACTGTGATGCAATCTGGTGAAATAATGGATTGTGCTAGACAGGCAGACTCTGGAGAGCTTTCTATCCCTTACACACACATTACCAGAAGSCAAGCAGACATGCTCTCCAATTCATAGATCCCAAGAAACAAGAGTGCTGTAGTCACAACAACATCATTTTATGTATTGTAAAGCATTTGATTTAACTAGGGTCTTCTATCAGAAGAAATCAGAAAACTGAAGAGCAGCAAAGATAAGAAGATAGCACTCAGAATGGCATTTAAGTCAAAGAACTTCAAAGATCTTTTTCTTTCATGKGGTATTTGCAAACATTCCTGTAACTACACATTCTTTGTAGTAATTCTGGTTGGTCTATGTTGGTAGACAGCAACTTCTAAGGAACACTTCTGTTATTCAACTCCACCAAAACCCAAAGTCAGCTACAAGTTCAGCATAACCCTGATTGCTTTCCTTCAGGACAAATTTTTCCACTTCTTCTCAAAAGTAGACTCCAGTTTCAGCTGTGCTCTCAACATCCCTCCTGTTTTGCTACTCTTTATTTGACATCATTGTAAATTCAAAAGGTACATACTAGGCTCAGACTTTATCCACTGTATCACTGCTTAACCAAATCAGCTCACCTGTTACAATTATTTTTCCTCACACCAACAAAATGGGCATATCCAGACCACATACTTCTCMCAGACTATCCAAGAAGTCACAGGAGTATTAACTCTGACATATTTCATTGTCATYCAAACATACAGCAGGGTTGCAGGGAGAAGCACGTACTTTCAATTTAAAAAAGTTGTTTTGTAAAAATACTCGGCCWCATGGGAAAAAACCCTTCTGATGACACAATTCAAAGCCATAGTCCAAAATCTAAGCCTATTCCTGATAAACTCAGACAAGATGGGTTTTACACTTCAGGATATAGCCTCTAGGCTCATGTAATCATCAGCTTAGGCTACCTACAAGAGTACTTACTTCAACAATGCACTATCATYACATGCTAGCTTGGCATTACTTACAAAGAAAGGAGTGGGAGGGAAYATCAATATTATATCCTCCATGGCATCTTCCACCTTTATTTCCTTCTGGCTTTATAAGAGTTGCAAAATAAACCTGTCTTTCACTTACCTCCATATACTGTAATTGTCAACACAAAATATATGAAATGGCAGAACAAGAAATTACAACTTAAGAAGAAAACTTTAACAGAATGCTCAACAAGAAGGGATGGTAGCAGCAATTTCCTAAAACCATCTACTTGGTTCATATTCCCTTTAAGAATGGCTGTCAATAAAAATGCTGTATCAGCATCTTGTTCTCATAAACAAAAAATATAAAACACACTTATGGTTCCCAGAGATATGTCATGGTATTTTAACAGTAAGTTGCTAATAAGAACCTCAGCACTCTCTGGGTTGTTTAAGCCAYCCAGAATGATTATGAGTGATTGTCTTTTAAATGCCACTGAACTGAAGACAAAGCCCAGGATGTATCATCACTTGTGGCAATATTACCTTCAAAAGAAAGCAACACCTATTTTGTTGCATGTATACAATGTCTGTGACTTCTGCACAGTGGGAAAAAATCTGTTCCCTGTATAAATCCAGGGCATGTCATTGCAAACAAGGTTTTTAATTAAAATTGGCATTTTTGAGCCTCCTGCAGACAGACAGCRTCTCATTGCCTCCTCCTCAGATGGCTAAACTGGCTTCCAAGAGAGACAGTGAAAAGAAACAAAATCACTAGAATACCTAACTTTGACAAGTCTCTGCTGGGGACAATTTCAATAGCAGGATGCTGCAGAGAGAGGCAAAGAGAGAAAAGACGACTACTTRGGAAGTCTCCCCTAATGAAGACTCAAAACATCACAAACAAGTCAGTAGAGGAAGCATCTTATTCTTAAGCCYACAGACAGGATGATCAAGCACGAAAATTTTAATCAGAAACCATATTGTTAAAGTGAATGCAGAACAGTGTCAGCACCTCAGTGGGTAAACCCTTCTTTTGAATGCAAAAGAAGGGCTTAGGGACTGGATAGACCTCTGGCTGAGAGGTTGGCTAAACTGTYAACTCTGACAAAGCTTTATCCCTCTCAGACAACAGGCAGAAAATCAGAYTTCTTGGCCAGAACATTTTCCTCAATTTATTGCAAAGAGTTTATATTGACTGCCAGCACTGTACCTTCAGGAGGCTCTTCCTGCAGATGAGGAGGCAATTCTTCACTTGTAGTCTCAGTTTCATCATCCACCATCTGTGTTTCTAAGCTAGGRCCCTGCAGAACAGAACAGCAAGAGGGGGTAAATTGCAGAAAGTTCACACAGGAAGCACAAAAATGGTTACAGGACTGGATAATATGCCAGACAGCAAGGACACATGGAGCTCACTTTAGCTGATAAGAAAGAAAGCTGCTGGGAGATTYGTTTGCAGTCAAGTTACAGAAAGGGAAAGTAAAATAAACATTCAAAAAGAGAGCTTTTCAAGACAAAGCAAAGTTACAAAAGACTTAATTGACTAAAAACCAGAAAAGGAACAGTGAAGCACAATTTCTAAACTGCTATTTCCAAAACACATAATGCAATAAATTATAATTTCCATTAACCAAGGGTAGCAGCAGATTCACCATCAACTGGAATTTTCAGGATAAAAAAAACCTTATCTTTGTCCTATTAAGACTACATTCTGAAATATCACTTTTTTTCAAGGAAAACAAACTGAACTGGTTTACAATCTTCCAACCTATGTAGGTCCATTGACCATRGAGTTTTCCCCTACAAGCCCAATACATCCATTTGTGTCTTCAAGTGTAATATGCCAAACTAACCATTCCTGAAAAATGGAAYGGACAGTACTGGACTACCCTTCCACATTTTGTATTTCCATGTTCCAGCCTTCATGATCTTGTAARGAGGCTGCAATGTTACTGCTGGAAGGACATCAGCAGAGTTAAAAGATTTGCAGCTGAACTCATTTTACACACACAATATTTTAATGACTTGTGGAGTTATAAAAGGGTAGCTGCTTTTTCAGTTTCAGACTATCACAGGAAAAAAAAAATCCCACCATCTGCTTCCCCCCAAATTCACTTTTTTTAAAGTAAGAGCAGAGTAAACATTAGGCATAGCTAGCGGATTCAGAGGAAAAAAACTGATTTTCTTTGCAACGTTAGTACAGTGAAGAGTGAAACRACAAAGTTAGTAGTCATTAGGAAATTAAGCTTTTGTGTGCCTTGAAAACATGACTGGGTTTGTAGTCTGAACTATCTGAAAATGTGTACTAACATTTGCAGCTGGAATGTTAGAGAAATACAGCTGGTACATCAACAGCTTGCAAAATGTTATTATTTGAACTCATAGCCCAAAAGCTGCAGTATTTATTTTCATTCTTTCCAAACCCTGTGACTGCAAGGTTACCCCCAACAGCATTGAATACTTTCTCTCTTTCCTCAGTTTGCACATTATGAAGAATAACAGGTTTTTCAAGAGGTGYTTTGTGAGAAACCTTGAAATCTTGAGAATTCCTAGTTCGTACAATGAAGTTAGAAGTATTTTCTACAGAATACCTCCASCTCTTATCTCACTGATAACTTACTACTATATGTATTCACCTACGATACAGGGAGCTTCTAAAAGGAGTGTTGTAAACATAAGAGTTTATCACACTTCAGCATGTCTGTCTAATCACCGAAGCCAGTGAGTAAGTGCGCCTAGTTTGGTACTGAAATTCACTAATTAAAATGTAAAACTGTTAACAGTAGATGAAATTCTAGGTTCTCATATACATATATTGAAGTAGTATTTAAGGCTCAAATGCTGACAGGTGTTACTAACAAGATTACAATAGCTTTTTATCTTGTGTAAGCATGTCCATTGCTTTTTTAGTTATATTTGCCAAGTTCAAGTCACTGGGCCTGCTGCAAGCTTGATAATCAATATTTTACTTATCTACAGTTYTGGCAGCACAGTCATCTACAGGAATCCAAAAAATCCAGGAAATTATCTTCTAAGAAGGCTTGTAAGTGTGTTAAGGTTGAGACAGACAACTTTGTCTCAACTTTTCATGTTACACTATCATTTCAAGAGTGAAGCATCAGTTACATTTTTTTCATTTTAAGGATCCTTGACAGACAAGTAAGGGAATAGGATACACACAACAGTGTAAATTACTGGCTTGCAGGTTCTGTAATAATCCCCTGGAGCTGCAGCTGAGTCAGAAGGCATGYATACAGATTGCTTCTGCTCCAGCACTCCCTCAGGAGCATCTAGAATGCAGGAAGATGTATCAACARTTCAGAACATCAGTAGATATTAACTGTACAATATTCTTTCAATTATTTASGGCTTGTATAGCCTCTTAAATTGGGAATGAGGTTCTATTCCTCACTAGAACCACTAGAGAAGCACAAGCTTAAACAGATATTACTACAGAAAGGTTATGGTGCAGAGCGTAGGAACATACAACTACTCTCCAATGACAATCCCCATCCTCAACAGACAAGCACTTCATACAGTTCCTTCCAGCACATGATGAGTTTCTAACTATGAGCATTATTAAAACTCAGTGGCAACTTTTCTATGGCATATTTTAACACAAACTCCAAGCTGAACAAGTAAACTCAAGCAGAGGCAATACCCACGCTTCTGAAATGAAGTAATAGATGTGAGAATTTGAAGTAGCTGTCTCTGTCCCTCCCAGCAGTTTAATGAATTCCAAGGAAAATTAAAAGCTTTGTATGTACTCAGCAAATTATTAAGATCAAGAGAAAAATCCAATAGGACTTCTTACAGAAACTCCCTGAGAAACATACAACCCTCTGTTCTGACCACACTGCATCACTACTGAGCTTACAGTGCAGTTTAACCCAAATACTGTGGACTGCTGTGACCTGGCAAATTAGTGTTTGTGGTTTTATAATGTGTTTCATAGAACGTTATGTATTTATGGATAGATAGAACTCCCAGTACTGAACTAGACAAGTGTGACAAATCACATACAAGCATTTCAGAGTATACCTCACGCTTTTCCACAGGATACAGTACTTTTGAGAATAATTCTGACCACAACTTCAGTGATATGCTCGTATTTTCAGTATATTTAAAGACTGTATATTTTACAAGAGCTGTGGTAAATCCATGCATGACAGAAAGCACTATCCACTCAAGGTCAGTGTTTTCCATAAAGTACAGAGTTATATTTATGACACTGAAACCAAGAGCTCCATTTGTCACCACATTTCTACCAACAAAGGATTTCAGCATGGTCAATCACAAGAAGAGGCACATTATCTCAGTCTCAGCAGAGTAATAAGTACTCAAAATACCTACACAGTTCAGGAGCAATCCCAACACCAAATGATCAGTGTCAGCTCATTTTKCACGTAAGTCAATACCAGCATGAGACTGTCACTGCAAATGCCCTGATATGGGTCATCCTCTAAAGAGTCCCTACAGGCCATCTCGAAGCAACCAGAAAACCCTACCTCCACCACYATCACTTCCAGGCCTTTTAGACTCTACTTTTGTACTTAGCATTATACACCATAATTAATCTTAAACTGAATTCTGTCACTTGACTGTTTGCTGAGTCAGGAATTCCTTTTGCTAATGAACAGCAAAATACAAAACTCCAACAAAGTCCAAGAAGGGCAACAATAAGGGAAGGCAATCAAAATTGTTTCTAAAAATAAATTTATCCTGTTAAAAATTATTCATGAAATTGAATGAGTTTGGGGAAAATAAGTTCAAATTTCATTCAGAGAACCATGTATCTTAAAATTCTGCTCCTTGTCATCATTCCTACTCAACCCCCAAAAGACMAAAAAAATTTTTTACATTCCATACCATAAGCAAAAACAGAAGGAAATACACCATGTTAATGYTTTTTTCCATTATACTCAAACTTACTGATAACCTTTTCCCACTTTCAGAACAAAAGCTGGAGGAATCGGATTCGGCAGCAGTTTTCAGTCTCAGTTCTTAGACTATACTTTGGAAATAATTCTAAAATCTGCAGTTTTAGCTACTATTTTCCTTGCACAATTTCAAGTGAAAATGAAACTTACTTCCTGATCTAAACCTTTATATTTTCATTCTTGTTTTTAAACACTTCWTTCATTTACATTCTGGACTTGAGCCTAGAATCTCCCTTCTTTCACCATAAAAAACTGCCTCATTCCTTCTAAAGCCTCTCCTTAAGAGTCCACAAAGTCARACTTGCTTCTTTCTATGCAAATCCTCAACTGCCAGCATAAATCACATGTCCTCTGTCCAGCCTAACACTGACTTTCGGACCTAATATTCTATGTAGGCACAATTCCAACAAAGCAATTAAACAGAGGAGAATCAGTAGCAGCCCAGGCCTCATAAGCTTCCCAGCATAGGTCCAACACCTTTTTTGTACAGTATCAAATATATGTCAACTGGTAATCATAAAGATTAGATGCACCCTTAAAGACTGACAAGATTCAGTGAGTCTGTGTGAAGAAACAMGTGAACTAATTCCCAAGTACAGGACAGTTTAAGTACTTCGGGAAGCTAAAGTATCCCAGTCAAAGTACTGGCTATTTTTGTATCAGGTTTAAAGAATACTTATTTCACATCTGCAAGATTAAAATCCACAAGTTCCTGCACATTTGCGTGCTTTGCCCCTTCCTAACACCACAAAAACAAAACCCCAGCTCTTTTCATCGCAACTTCACTTTTTCCAAATGGGTGAGAGATGACACAATCTGACTGGGCTGAATGTTTGCAGATGGCAAAGGTCTTGTCAGATCCAGTAACAATGAAGCAGACCTTTATCAGGCTTTCCTAAAAATGATATCATTAATGCCACTGTTAATTTGGGATCTCTCCTCTATCCAGTCACTGTTAAGAWGTTTCTCAGAACTTACCTTTGATACTTGATGTTTAACCAAATGTGGCTCACAATGCCCTTTCTGCTTTTGATACAATTACATAAGGYCTCAATTCCTACAGGAAAAAAAGGGGCTGTTTAAAAAAAATTAAAATTAAACAAGCAGCCACTGGGTAGGTAGTTCAACAGTGATGATGACACTGTTTTTCAGAGAGTTGAGGTACTTAACTTCAGCTGAAGCACATAACTACCCAATGATCTCCTTATTCTCTGCTGCTCACTTAACCATGCTCAGACACTGGAAACAAGTTTAAAACTATCACTGCACCTTTCTTAGGTAATTTGCAGCTGCAGCTTTTACTTCAGCAATGGATTTTCAGCATATTATGGAATTAAGATTTTAATTTAAATTTTTCTAAATGT